TAATAATAATAATAATAATAATAATAATAATAATAATAATAATAATAATAATAATATCAGCTAGTATCATTGCAAAAGCTTATAATTATAATTAACTTCTTACGGTGATATCCAATGCCAGCAAGAAGTTGAATGCATCTTGAACTACAATTTATGCCAATTTTTCAACCTAGGGCCTAGGTTGTCTATCTTGAAGAATCATTCCAGTATTATTAATTCGATTGTTTGTGTAGTGTCCCTGAAATTGCTCATGATTTACTTCAAGAAAATCCTGCCAATTTGCCTCACAGATCTTTCTAGGCAAAACATGGGCATAACTGCATGCAAAAAAGCCTATCACATTTCTCTAATTTTATGCATCGGGGCTGCAGATAAAAAGACATTTTTCGATCTCATCAATACATTCAACAAGGAGTAAGTAGCATAAGATCAATAAATAAAACTCAACCTGCAAAGCTCAGTGTATCAGCTCTCAAATTTTTTTGATTCCCTTCCCTTCTGACTAAACGCTTAGGACCAGAAGACATGACATGTTAGCTGTTTATTAGGCATATATGATTCACCACACAGCATGTTTCCTACAGAACATCTTCCATGATGTTTTCTATGTTTTAGTCATAAAAGCAGCACAGAAAATTTAGTATTCCTGATACCTCATAGGTGACTCCACTGTCAGTGCCAGCATCCCATGGAATCAGGTCCTGAATCACCTTTTGGACCCATCCGCAGTCCTTGGTGCACAGATCTTCAGCAGAAAGCCCTACATTCCAGTCAGGGCTGGGGCCTAGCATGGTAAGGAAAGACATAAGGTGGCGTGTTCTGTCCACAGAAAATTCAGCAGAGGGAGCTGCTCGCCTAAAAGTGAAGACAAAAAGAAATGAAGACTAAAGTAAAGATTTTGACTTGAGAAATCACAAGTGCGCCTGCCGAATGAAATAAGGGCAGGAAAACCCAGACACAGCTGTAAGCTACAGAAGCACTGCTGTGGAGAGAATCAAGCCTCAATTAACATAGTGCTTCCTACAGGTGCATTTAGAAGCTTTTGCTTTATAAAACAGATTTAATGTAAAAACAAAAAGTTTTATAGAACACTATTTTTTTTTTACATTGATGAGTTTGTTGAGGCATTAACAAGAGTCAGGAAAAATGTCTGAGATATACTCTTGTACCTCCACCTTCCTGAAGGGTGGCTTTGGAAGAGAAATAATAATTATACATGGTTTAACTTGGTTACAATGCTTCACACATATTTCTGTTGTCTGTTGATAGAAGGCTCCTGATGACTCAAATCATAGAAGAGTATTTTTGCAGATCTTGAAGGGAGCTTAGAAATGGAGGGCATGTCCCTCTCAGTCTTCCATAAATAGCTTTGTGTTAAAAAGAAAATGGCTATAATGTCAAGTGTTTATGTTTAATGACATCATTTTTACTCCACTGCTGGATTTCTTTCACAATTTTATTCTGACTTTACTTGCAAAGAAAATAAAAGAAATTATTATCTAATACAAAACATCGCTTTAAAATTCAGGCAACGCTGTTGAAACATTCTTAAGGCATAACATCTGGATGAACTTATCTGGGCTTCATCTTAAACACCGAAGCTGGCAGAATAGTCAAAACAACTGTTAGTTGGATTTTAATGCTCAAGCATGTGTGAGATTTATAGCAAAAGGAAAAGGATGCAGCCAAGCATCGTGAAAATTTCTGCCAAAATAAATTCACGGTGATAAGCAGTACGCCTTGATTTTTGGGAACTTGCCAAATATTCCTTTAATGGAGGATATGTTGCCATATGAAATCAATGATGTTCTTTCAATAAATCTCTAACGATTTTCAGTGATTATTGACAGGCCATTTATCTGAGGATGAAGCATCCGTGCTGCGAACAAAACTAGTGCTTTAGAAATTTGCTGCCTATGCTAAATTATGCACAAACAGAGCCTGATGCTACTGAAGCATCCTATTCCTGGCAACCATGTCAGTGACATCTGGCATCTGATCTACTTTCCGGGAAGCCCAGATGGGTTGTTCCAATCTGACAACAAAAATCAAGACCAAAAAGATAGGGCTTAAGAATGGACCAGAGCTTTACAAACAGTTGCAACTTTACTATCATATGATGTGACAAGCAGACATAGCTGGCATGAGTTTGGAACTACAGCCTGGAAAATTTCTCATTATTTGCCAGAAATTGCAGCATCGGAGTCCCTGGAACATTTGTTATCTTCCGTAAGTTCTCCACCTTGAGAAATGAAAATTACCAATTAAGGTCCCTATATGATTGCATGGGCCTTTGTAGGTCACAGTAATTTCTCAGAATGGAAAGGAACCACAGGGAGCAGAACAGTTACTCTCACATTCCTTAGCAACAGTACAAGTGTGTTTCTTTATGTGAGAAACAGAAGAGCACACTTGGATCAGAATAAAACCTGTCAAACCCTCTTCATTTTGCCATTGCAATTCAGGATCTGAGGAAGACATCCTGACTTATAAATTTTCTGGAGAGATGTGACCTCCTTTTTCATCGTTTATTGAAATAAACTATTCTTTAAACCAAGGATCTTCAAACTTGGAAAATTTAAGACTTGTGGACTTCAACTCCCAGAATTCCTGAGCTAACATGACTGGAGGAGGAATTCTGGGGCTTGACGTCCACAAGTCTTAAAGCTGTTCAGTTTGAAGATCGCTGATCTAGAAGATCATGTGAAAACCAAAGGCTGCTGTGATGTGGTTTGGTTAGCAGATCAGGCAGACAAGGAAGGGAGGGAGGGAGGGCCATTTCAGGCATACCACAAGCTGCCCCATTGTTGATCCCTCTCCTTCCTCTTTTCCCAGCCCTCCAAGGTGGCCAAGCCTAAGAGATGTCCCCATCATGAAGTTCTCAAGGTTGATGTCCCACAAGGGGGAGAAGGTGACTTCAACTCCTGGGAGAGGACTGGATAACTTACTCTTCACCATGGCATGGAGAAGACCTGGCTGAAGACAGAGAGAGCCAAGGTTCCTCTTGTGTCAAAGTTGTGTGTAAGAAACTTTTTCTGGAATCTCATCCTACTTCTAGATCAGAGATCCCCAAACTTGGCAACCTTAAAACTTGTGGACTTCAACCAGAGGTGGTATTCTAGAGAACCGGTAGCAGAAATTTTGAGTAGTTCAGAGAACCAGCAAATACCCCCTCTGACTGGAGATTTTACAGTATCCTTCCCCTGCCATGCCCACCAAGCCACGCCCAAAGAACTAGTAGTAAAAAAAATTGAATCCCACTACTAACTTCAACTCCCAGAATTTGCCAGCCAGCATAGCTGGCGGGAGAATTCTGGGAGTTGAAGTCCACAAGTCTTAAAGTTGCCAAGTTTGGGGACCCCTGCTTTAAACTATTCTTGTTTTAAGGCCTAGTCAATCTTTTCAGTGTTCTATCCTAGTCATGAAGTTAGTCATTTAAGATGCCTTCTCCTTTTTGTTCCTCATCCCAAGGTAACCCAAATATTATCCTTAAGGGAGATAATATTTCCCCAGAACTAAAATAAAGCTGGGGCCACCCATAATAGTTCTGTGCAGGAGTTTGCCTCAAAAAATATTTCTCTTTTGGTTCAATTCCATGCCTTTTTCTGTATATGAACTGACTTCATCCTTGGTATATCCTTTCTGATCTTCTTAAAGCCCCTGTTCTGGAGAGCAACAAAAGAGAGAAAAGGAGGGTAGGATGATGTGAACTTTTCTGAAGTGTGAAGGAAAAGGAATGTGGATACGAATGTGTATCAAATTGGTAGATGAAGATCCCGATAGTGAATCCTATTATTATTCTGTATCCGACAGCTAACAATTAAATGCAGTCAAATCTGAAAACTAGTTCTTCCACTTGTAATGCTGCATTTGGCTAGCTTGCAGATTTATATATTTATAAATAACACAGATGAGCCATCCAAAAGCTAGTCATTCTCAGGGTGATATATGGTAAAATAATTATATCAAATAAGCGCAGTCCTCCCCGCCACTTGAGTGGGTTGGTCAAATACCAGAACCTTTAAAATAAAAAGGGGGAAAAAAATCCCGGAACTCACATTCTATCTTTGTTAAGCCTACCAATATCAATTTTGTCTTTTGTTTTCATCTGAGGCTTCCTAGGTGAAAATTTGTTAACACTGTGAACCCACGCTTGCAAGACGGATAGGGAATCATAAATGCTGTCAATGAAAAGACTTCTTCTGTCATCTCATCTATCACCTGGCCCCCATGATAAGATTGCTCTTTGCTTTGTAGTGGTGCCGCAGTCTAATTCAAATATTTCAAGCCATTAGTGTTCATTTCTGTGCTTTCCTTGAACAAACATCTTGCTCCACGAAGAATATCTTGACAGATTGAAGAGCACCAAGCAAACTAAATGCTAAAGCTTTCAACATTTAGCAGGCTCAGGGTTTTGACTGCAGAGATCAATTTTAGGAAGGCTACAAAGGAGCAAACCCCAACTGAAATCAATCATGTTTGCTATAGAGTCATCACACCTCCACAATATCCGCAACACTTCTGAAGCTAATAGACATTTTTCAGATGCAATGTGGAAGGGATTACAACCATTAAGGGTTTGCTTCAGATTAGGATCAGCTTTATCAATCCTCTATGTACCGTTTAAATAAGAATGGTCCCTTGTAATCTGTGTCTTTTTTGTGGCTTTCAGAACCCGTCAAATTTTTACCACCAAATTCAAGAATTAACAGCCGCAACAACAACTAATAGCAATGATGCACATTTTCATTGATTTGCAGCTCCACTAGTGACTTAATTATGTAATTGCTCTGCCCATTACAAGTCACAAGTGCCAAAAAATAAAGTTCAGTCCCTTGTATCATGACTTAGAGGGTGCTCAAAAGAATGAAGATAAATCTACAGGAGAAACTGACACCAGTAAATGCTCAGAACCAAAGTCTAATACCAGCAGAAAGGAAGGAATAAGAATTGCTCCAGTTGAAAAGGCCTACTCTGAATATCTTATGCCCAAGAGTTTTGGCTGGCAGAATTCAGGAAAGGGGACTTTTCTGTGATGGCTCTGCCCAGCCCTTTGTAATATTTTCCTGCCAGTGGTGAGATTGGCCCTCATATTCCTGGCCTTCCCGAAGAGCCTGAAACCTGGACTTGCCAGGTAGCCTGGGCCCCTGATAGGGACCCTTTATGCTGGGGGTGACTAATGGGGTAGAAAGAAGATCCCCACCTCAACTCATCTTTCCTCTTAGTTTTTAGTCTTTATTTAATCTTTCTAATTTTAATTGTTTTGTATTCTCTTTTTAAAAACCATGTTATCATTTTGTAAGCCATCTAGCATCACTGCAACAGTGAAGTGGGCAGCATATAAATTTAGCAAATAGCCTTTTCTAAGTGTAATGCCTCCAGTGTAAGCTCCTTTTAATCAATCTTTAATCCCACACAATATCGCATTGCCAAGTGACAGCTGAGGGACATAAAATTTGCACATCTACAACAAAGACATCCTTAGAGATAAAATTATATTCAGGAATCAGTATTGCTTCTGAGTAGATTTGAAAAACTTTTCATAGGTAGCTTGGATCATGGAATAATGTCTTCACTGTAAATTTTTGTATTTTACTTCTTGAACTCCTAAATCATATCCTCAACCCAAATTCTTGGATATAAAGCCAGCTTGGATATTTGGAACTTTAATTTTACTGATTCGTGGGCTATTTTTTATTTTACCTCAGTTCTCTGTCCCATCTCTGGCTGCTTTTTATTTAGTGGAAGGAAATATTTAAGCCTGGGAAACCTCATGTGTTGCTATCGATTCAGGTTCCTCAGAATACCTAGTATGTGAAATATTACATAGCCATCTTCCTATTTATTACTTTGAA